CTGGATCTGGTAGGAGGGGAGAAGAGAAGGGCATCAAAGATCATGCCCTGTGTGAGCATTTGCTGACAGGAAGAAGATAGTGGAAGGACAGTTGCGGATATGTTCATGCTGGGGTGCCTGTGATACTCCATGGGGAGGCATGAAGGAGATCTCAGACTCTGCAGAGTTGGCAAGAGAGATTTACCCTGAAAGTGCAACTTTGGGGGTCATAAGTATAGGGATGGTTTTCAAAGCTGAGGGAATGGATGAGATCACATGAGAAGTGGGTAGAGAGAGAAAAAGAGAGAGGACCTAAGATGAGGCCATGGGGAACTCCATATTTAATGATTAAGTAAAGGAGAAAGAACATGAAAAACAGAGAAAGAACTGCTGAAGGGAGGAAAAACAGGGTACAGTGGTATTAAGGAAGCCAAGAGAGATGTTTCAAGCAAGGCCAAATGCCCGATGTGGAGCAGGATAGGATAAAGACAGAAAAGTGACCTTTAGGTTTTGTAACCTAGAGTTCCATAGGCATCCACCTAGATAAAAGGAATTTCAGTCTACTGACAGAACTGGAAATCAGACTGAAGTGAGTTAATGAGGAACTGGAAAAATAGAACATAAAGAGACCTATAATCATTAAATCAGTAGTTAAAAATCTGTACTTTCCTCCCTCAACAAATAAAAAACAAACCAGGTTTTTGCTAAGTTCTATCAGACCTTAACTACATAGATCATTTTTTACTTTATACATACTATAAACTACTCCAGAGAATACAAAAGAAGGGAAAGATCTCTATTTATTTTATAAGGCTATTAAAACCTTGCTACCAAAATCAGACAAGGATTACTATATGAGAAAGAAAAATTCAAGGCTAGCCTCATCTTGGTTCACAGAGGTAGATACTCTAAAACTTAGCAAACTGAATATAATAATATGGGAAAAATAATTAATACATCATGACCAAATAGAGTACATCCCAGGAAGATGGTTTAACATTAGAAAATGTATTAATACTTATTAACATATTAATATAGTAAAGGAGAACAATTATTATCTCAATAGATTCAGAATAAGCACCTGATAAAATTCAAAATATACAAACTCAGTGCATGTGTATATATACACACAGAGGAATATTACTTAGCCACAAAAAGAATGAAATCTTGCCATTTGCAATGTGGATGGAACTAGAGGGTATAATGCTAAGTGAAATAAGTCAATCAGAGAAAGACAAATATCATATGATCTTACTCATATATGGAATTGAAGAAACAAAACAAATGAACAAAAGAACAGACAGACAAACCAAGAAACACTCTTCACTATAAAGAACAAACAGATGGTTACCAGAGGGAAGGTGTGTGAGGGGATGGGTGAAATAGGTGAAGGGGATTAAGAGTATACTTATCAGGATGAGGACTGAGTAATGTACAGAATTGTTGAGTCACTATATTGTACACCTGAAACTAAATGTTAAACTGGAATTAGGGGATCCCTGGGTGGCGCAGCGGTTTGGCGCCTGCCTTTGGCCCAGGACGCGATCCTGGAGACCCGGGATCGAATCCCACATCGGGCTCCCGGTGCATGGAGCCTGCTTCTCCCTCTGCCTGTGTCTCTGCCTCTCTCTCTCTCTCTGTGTGACTATCATAAATAAAATAAAAATTAAAAAAAAAATAAACTGGAATTAAAATTAAAAACTTAACAACAAAAAAAAAGGAAAACCCAACCCCCTCCCTAATACACATATTCATGATTAAAAAATAACAGTGTGCTGGGAATAGAGAGGAATTTCCTTTTGCTAATAAAGAATATCTATCCAAACTTGCAATAAATATAATATTTAATGGTGAAAAGTCAGAAGCAGTCTCTTTAAAGTCAGGAACAAGACAAAGCTATTCACTATCGCTGCTCCTCTTCTACAATAAAATATGAAAAGAAAAAGTAATAAAAGTAAAAATAGAAATGAAGAAACAATGCCATCATTCACTAAAATAATGATTGTATACACAGAAAATCTAAGGGAATATAAGATAAACTGTAATCAACATTAGCAAGGTTGCTGTATACATTCTCAAAATATAGGGTAGCCCCGGTGGAGCAGTGGTTTAGCACCATCTGAAGCTCAAGGCGTGATCCTGAAGACCCTGGATTGAGTCCCACGTCAGGCTCCCTGCATGCAGCCTGCTTCTCCCTCTGCCTGTGTCTCTGCCTCTCTCTCTGTGTGTCTCTATGAATAAATAAATAAAATCTTAAAAAAAAAAACATTCTCAAAATACAAACATCAGTGGTATTCCTGTATCCTAGCCACAAAAAAGCTGGATGCTATAATAAAAAAATTTATAACAGTAACCAAAATGGTAAGCTACCCAGGACTAATTATCTAATAAAAGATGCTTAAAACATTTATGAAGAAATTTTTAAAACTTCACTGAGGTATGTTTAAAAACAGAAGGAAAACATATAAAGAGATACCTAGGGGGCACCCGGGTGGTTCAGTTGGTTGAGCTGCCTTCAGCTCAGGTCATGATTCCAGGGTCCTGGGATCTAGTTCCACATCCTGCTCCCTCCTCTGTGGAGAGCTTGCTTCTCATCTCTGCCCCTCCCCCTGCTCATGCTCTCCTTTCTCTCAAAAAAAAAAATAAATAAATAAATAAAAAATAAAATAAATAAAATAAAATAAAATATAAAATAAAATAAAAAATATAAAATAAAATAAATAAAAAAAATAAAATCTTTACAAAAAAGAGATACCAAGTTCATAGTAACAAAGACTTGATATCATAAAACTGTCAAATCATACAAATACAATTCATAAGCCAAGGAAAGCCAAACAGTTTTGAAGAACCGTAAGTAGGAGCATCACTCCTAGTTATTATGAAAATTGGGATATCTTCCTTTTCCCTTGCTATGAAGGCACATGATCTAGCAGTAGCACTCCTGGCTTCTCTCCATCCTCACTCTTTCTTTGAAGACAAGGGCCTTTTCTGATGGCTGAACTTAGAAGGAAAAATAAAACCTGGGTATTCTTGGCTTAGCCCTGTCTGGTTTCCTGCAGGAGCCTCTGACTGCTTTCCACAGTCAAGGGCCTGCCTCTGGGAGAAAAGCCTAGGGGTCCCTAGTTTACCATGAGACCATGAGGGAAGTTTTAGTTTGATTGATGTCTTTGCGAGCCCTTTTTATCACAGATCCCAAACCACATTTTCCAGGAGGCTTTATCAGTAATGCAACTGACATTTTGATTTCTATTGCTCTGTCTCTTATATCTCCTCTCTTAAATGGCTCCAAATTTAGGGGGAGAAGGGATGCTATTTATTTGGCATCCTAAAACCTCAACATGACTTGCAGAAATTACATCTTATAATAGTTAAAACTTTGGTGTTAGCCCATAGACAGACAAATAAAGGAGCAGAATTGGGAGCCTGGAGATAGACCCAGATATAGAGGTAAACTTCGTACACGAAGAAGATGGCATTATCAAACAGTAGACAAAAACAGACCCTTCAATAAATAATGCTGGGACAATTTGCTGCCTGTACTGAGCAAGATCCATTTAGTGACTCCTCAGGTAGTACTGTGGGTTGCCTCTTTTTTAAAAAAAATTAGGTTATTTATCATTTGTGTTACAAAACCTTCCATGAATTTTAGATCTTGTTTCCAACTAGATCACAAATCCCTTGAAGGTAGAGCTAGAATCTTAGACTTCTTGTTAATCCTCCAGAGTGCCTATCACAGAACTTTACACACGCAGACAACACTAAGTAAACGTCTGCTGGCTCATTACTATTTTACCTTAAAACTCAATGTCTATCCCTCATGCCTGAGGGCATTCAGGTCCATATCCAGTACTAAGCTTTTCTAATTATTTTCATATTCTGAGTAGAATTCTTCAAACAATTGTGCATTTACTTAACAGGAGTCCTAGCTAAAATCAGACATCCAAAACTTGCATTTTGTGGATCACAGAGGACAAAAATAAAAAATGTCAAAGTAAAGGTCGTCAAAGATGTTACTTTCTCATTATTCTCAAGGCCTATTCTTATGGCACAGAAGAAAATGAAACCAATCTTGTGCCTTATTCCCCACAAAGTTTTTCTGTCTAACCTCGTATTTCATCCTCACCACAAAGTGGTGAGATGAGCAGGGCAGGGATTATAAATGAAGAAATTAAGTTTCAGAGAGGTTACACTTTAGCTTCACCTGGCAGGTTAGAGAAAGATGTGAGACGAGGAGCCAATGTTCTTCAGAAGAAAATATGCTGCTCCCAGCTATTTAGCTCTTAAGGCCTGATTTCCATTTACATGATTTTGTAAGTTATTCCCCATCATCCAAGAATTCAAACTTGAAGAATTACTAAATGGCTAGAGCCAACAGCTTTCCACTGAATTAAGTCAGGTGAACAAATCTAATGTCTTTAGACAGACCTTCCCTTGCCCCTTCTCTTTTTCAAAGAGTCAGCCTACCCTGACAAAGCATTTTTAAGCAGCAATTTGCCCTCATGATACAATGACATCAAGTATGTGTCTCTTGGTCTCAGACTAGTTCCTGCCGAGACGACGACTAGGTCGTTGTCTGCTTTCTTCCCTTAACTCCCATGGTCTCTGATCCTGATTTTATTTCTGTAGTTTATGTCCTTCACTTGTTCTTTGATGAGGTCCTAGTCGCTCCATGTCTCTCTTTTATGAATCACACTGGCTGTCCTCCAGTCTCTGCCTCAGAAATGCACTCAAGGATTCCTCACTCAGCCAACCTCCCAGTGTGCCAACAATATCCACCCAACCTCCCAGTGTGAAAACAGTATCTGCTTGAGCCCACTCCCCTCCTAAGGGTGCTTCACCCCACTTGGCCAGGCCAGGGTGTAGACCCACACATGTACAATGGCTGCCTTTCCTTTTCTTCAGGAATCTTAATAAAGAAGGAAACAAAGAAAACAGGTGAGGAGCAACGTGGAAGCCAGGAAAGTGTCTCTGGATGATTATCCACATTCCAGTTTCTGAGTGTCAGAGATAAAAGTACTCACCACCTGACCATTAGTCCATGTTCCATGAAGTTTTTCAGGTTAGGGAGGGTTTGCCTCAAGTCTGGAGTCCCTAGTCCATGTTGATATCTTAGCTGTGAAGATGGAAAAATACAATTAAAAGAAATTCTGGAAGATACTAGGCGACATTTTCCAAACATGATCCATTCATTCATTATTTTTTCTTCTTTTGAACTATAAAAGAGGAAATGAAAATGTATGAACCTAATATCATTGACTACACTTTTGAGATGATATTTAAAGGTAGCCTCTTAGCCTCTTGGGTGGCTCAGTTGGTTAAGGAGTTAAGTGTCTGCCTTTGGCTCAAGTCATGATCCCAAGGTCCCCCTGCTTGTGTGTGCGCGTACGCGCTCTAATAAATAAATAAAATCTTTAAAAAAACCCAAAGGTAGCCTGTCTCCTGAAGCTGGAAAAGACAAAGAATGGCCAACTATATTAGCATATTTCAAAGAGTTCTTAGGGTTTGCTAACATCAACTCCAGGGACATATACCATAAAACCAGTATTTTGTTTTATTTTTAAAAAAGATTTTAGTTATTTATTTGAGAACGTGATTATAAGGGGGAGGGAGGAGCAGAAGAAGAGAGAGAAGCAACTACCAGCAGAGCAGGGAGCCCAATACAGAGCTCGATCCCACAATCCTGGGATCATGACCTGAGCCGAAGGCAGATGCTTAACTGACTGAGCCACCCAGGCACCCCTCAGTATTTTGCTTTAGATACTGAACATCTGGCATGATGTATTCTGGACACATCCAGCCCATCTTTCACTGACCCTTCCCCTTTGTATAACCAAGGGTAAGTATCATGTTGTGTTCATCTCTAATCCCCAAGAGAGTCTGACAGTGCTAGCACTCAATTTTTAGTGCTTATTAAACAAATAAATAGCAAGCCACTTTTGAGGATGCTGTGCTCTGTTTTTCTCTTGGATTCCTAACTTTCCTTTTTGTTTACAACCAGTACACAGAGCTATAGAGCCCATTTGAAAACACTATGGGGGGATCCCTGGGTGGCTCAGTGGTTTTAGCACCTGCCTTCGGCCCAGGGCCTGATCCTGGAGTCCTGGGATCGAGTCCCACATCAGGCTCCCTCCCTGGAGTGTGCTTCTCCCTCTGCCTGTGCCTCTGGCTCTCTCTCTCTGTGTCTCTCATGAATAAATAAATAAAATCTTAAAAAAAAAAAAAAAAGAAAACACTATGGTCTGTGGATGGACCTGGTCTTAGTTTTAATTATTTCTGCTAGAGCTGATTTTCTAACATTAGGTCCTTCTAGTGTACCTTGGATAACTCACTAAATGGTTTTCATCTGTCTGCTCCACACCTTCTCTCACTCTGTCTCTGAATACCACTTGCTTCCTTTACTGGTTATGACAGAGATCTGAGGTAAATATATGTGCATATTCAAATACATGCTCTCTCTCACACACATATAACATCAAATACATAGTAAATACACAGTAGAGATTTTCATATGACATAATATATATGAAAAAAGTACTCTGTAAACTGTACTGGTGTACAACCATGAAGGATAATAACTCTTGAACTTTTACTTTTCCAGGACCTAACTTTAAAAGTGGCTAAGTCAAACTTCTAAATATTTTCCTCTCTTAAAAAATAAAACCACTATGAACAAAAAATACCAAAGTTTTCTTCTGCTTGTATCTAGTACTTAACTCATTTTTTTGTTTTGTTTTGTTTTTACTTAGTGTGAGTGACACTTAACAAAGAGAAGAGTTTACTCTTACTACTTTGAACTTTTAAAGGGAAACCCCCAAGCCTAATCAGATCTCTTGAATGGTCTGAATATACACATAAAGTAAGGAAGTAAGAAACACAGAATGTTAAAGCTGAAATGTATTTTGAGTATTATTTAAGCCAATCCTTTCCTTTTGCAGGTGGGGAAACTGAAGCCCAGAAAGGGGAAATAAATTCTCCAGGGCCCCATGTTTCAATAGCAAAGACATTATTAGCTAGAGCCTTATTCTCACAACCATGCTATTCCACCATCTACCCCAAAATCTGAGAGGAAAATTGGTTGAAATGCTTGAGAAGACAAAGGGAAAATATTCTTTTCTTTTTCCAAAGCTAGCCTGGTGACCTAAATCACCTCCTGAGATTTGCTGACCTTGAATTATAAGATCTACTCCATATTAAATGACATCATTTCTTACACTAATATAAAAGCATTTTTTCCATACATTGATAAAAGTAAAGTGGCTGATATCCCAATGTGACATTCCTGAATTCATTGTTTCAATAAAAAAGTGAAATTGTTTACACATGGCATGGAAATTTCACCTGTGATTCATACTGAAAAATATTAAATATCAAAAAACCCCCGAACCCATACTGAAATAACACTAAGCTATGTGTCCCTGAGCCAGTACACAGCCAATTGCCTGCCCCAAGCTCCACAATGGAAGGTGGGTGTTGAATTCTTTTCAGAGACCACAATGAAAATTTTTCTTCAAGTCTGATTTCAACCAAAAAAGGAAACTGTGGGAATGTCAAGCCTCTACCGAGGTCTTAACTCTTCATTTGCTATATAGCATTATCATTTTTATCACAGAATCATAAGATATTTTAACTTAAAGAGATCCTGCAGATCATCTTTCCAACATCTTTCCTTTCATAAATGAAGAAACGAAGGCTCAGTAAGGCAAGTGTCCTGGGATCCCTGGGTGGCGCAGCGGTTTAGCGCCTGCCTTTGGCCCAGGGCGCGATCCTGGAGACCCGGGATCGAATCCCACATCAGGCTCCCGGTGCATGGAGCCTGCTTCTCCCTCTGCCTATGTCTCTGCCTCTCTCTCTCTCTCTATCATAAATAAAAAAAAAAAAAAAAAAAAAAAGAATCTTAGGAAATATTATTAAAAAAAAAAAAAAAAGGCAAGTGTCCTGCCCAATGTCACAGAGTTGATGAGGAACAAAGCCAAGTCTAGAATTTTAAAAAAATTTTTATTTACTTTTTAAAATCCAAGAATAATTAACATATATATATATGCTGTATGATAAATATTGTATCAATATAATTAATACTGAGTCAATATTCATGATGTATAATGATTCAACAATTCTATGCATTACGCAGTGCTCATTGTAAGTATGCTCTTAATCTCCATCACTTATTTTAACCCCTCCTCCCTCCCTTCCGGTAACCACCAGTTTGTTTTCTGAATCTCAGAATGTTTTATTTTTATTTTTCAAAGATTATTTAATTATTTATTCATGACAGACACAGGGAGAAAGAGGCATAGACACAGGCAGAGGGAGAAGCAGGCTCCATGCAGGGAGCCCGACATGGGACTCAATCCCGGGTCTCCAGGATCACGCCCTGGGCTTAACGTGGTGCTAAACCACTGAGCCACCCAAGCTGCCCTCAGACTGTTTTATGGTCTCTTTTTTCCTTGTTCATCTGTTTTGCTTCTTAAATTCCACATATGAATGAAATCATATAATAACTATCTTTCTGACTTATTATACCTTGAATTATGGCCTCTAGGTCTATCCATGTTGCTGCAAATGGCAAGATATTCCATTGCATATATGTATATATGTGTATATATATATATATATATCATATCTTCTTTATCCATTCATCTATGTATGTACACTTGAGTTGCTTTCATATCTTGGCTATTTTAAATAATGCTTCAATAAACAAATAAACATACAGGTACACATATCTTTTCAAGTTACTATTTTTGTTTTCTTTAGGTAAATACCCAGTAGTGGAATTACTGGATCACATGGTATTTTTATTTTTAATTTTTGGAGGAACTTCCATACTGTTTTCCACAGTGGTTATACTAGTTTGCGTTCCCACCAACAGTGTATGAGGGTTCCTTCTTCTCCATATCTCTGCCAACATCTGTTGTTTCTGGTGGTTTTGATTTTACAAGGCTAGAATTTCTTTAAAACAACTCCAAATTCTTTCTACCATGTCATCCTTTTAATTTTCAATACATGAAACAAAAAAAAATTACATATAATACATATATATTACATTTTAAAAATAAATTACTTGTACTGTCTAATAAGTCTAAACTGCTATAAGGCTTATAATGAAAAAGCAAATTCTTTGCTCTTCAGTAGCAACTACTTTTAGCTGTTTCTTCTTTACTTTCATATTTCTAAGTAATATGATTGTATTAATTTTCATATTCTTTCATATTCTTTCCGCTTTAGACATCTACTATCTTCCTATTATGAAAAGTAAAAATTCAGCTCATTTATACTACTCTCCTCTTACACAAACATTTTATACCCTCACCCATACATCATCTATGGACTTTTTATTAAAGAATATGAGGATTTAACTACCTTCCCAGATAAGTTCTCCTTATCCTCAAGATACTCAGTACCACATTTTTGTTAGATCAATATTTAGGGCTTATTGTACCTGCAGAAATATTGTTCACTGCCTAGCCATGTAATATACTATTCCTTTTTTTGAACCTTTATTTATATTTATTTACTTAAGATTTTATTTATTCAGTCATGAGAGAGAGAGAGGGTGAGAGAGAGGCGGAGACACAGGCAGAGGGAGAAGCAGGCTCCATGCAGGGAGCCTGACATGGGACTCGAACCTGGGAATCCAGGATCACGCCCTGAGCCAAAGGCAGGTGCTCAACCACTGGGCCACTCAGGTGTCCCTTGAACCTTTTTTAAAAAAGGTTTAGTTAGGGATCCCTGGGTGGCGCAGCGGTTTAGCACCTGCCTTTGGCCCAGGGCGCAATCCTGGAGACCAGGGATCGAATCCCACGTCAGGCTCCCGGTGCATGGAGCCTGCTTCTCCCTCTGCCTGTGTCTCTGCCTCTCTCTCTCTCTCACTGTGTGCCTATCATAAATAAATTAAAATTAAAAAAAAATAAAAGGGTTTATTTATTTGAGAGAGAGAGAGAGACAGAGAGAGAGTGGGGGTGGGGGAGGCAGAGACAATCTCAAGCAGGCTCCATGCTTAGTACAGAGCCCAAATCAATCTTACCAGCCTGAGATCATGACCTGAGTGAGCTGAAACCAAGAGTCAGAGGCTCAACTGACTGTGCCACCCAGGCACCTCTGTACTTTTTTGTT